GCTCATGCCTGTAATCCCAGAACTTTGGGAGGCTGAGGTGGGCAGATCACTTGAGGTCAAGAGTTTGAGACCAACCTGGCCAAAATGGCGAAACCCTGTCTCTACTAAAACTACAAAAAAATTAGCTGGGCGTGGTGGTGCATGCCTATAGTCCCAGCTATTTGGGAGGCTGGGGTAGGAGAATCGCTTGAACCTGGGAGATGGAGGTTGTAGTGAACCAAGATCGTGCCACTGCACTTCAGCCTGGGCAACAGAACAAGACTCCATCACAAAAAAATTTTTTTTTTCTTTAACATGGGAGTTATTCTTTTCCAAAGGCTCTTTCTAGATTAATAAATCATGAAAACCTCCAAGAAGCTGAATTTTTTATTCTTAATAGCCAGGCATCACTTAATGATGGAGATATGTTCTGAGAAATGTGTTAGGTGATTTCATCATTGTGCAAACTTCACACAGTGAACTTACAAAAACCTAGACGGTACAGCCTACCGCACATCTAGGTTATATGGTATGGCCTATTGCTCCTAAGCTACAAACCTGTACAGAATGTCAGCATGCTTGAGATGTCAGCGGCAGATAGGGATGCTGTTTGGAGCCTTTGCCAGGCCCGCATAGATGAATCACAGCAGAGGCCTCCAGGATTTTTGAGCAACGCTCTGCTATCTTCTGCAAACTACTCTCCTTTTGAGAGACAGCTCTTGGCCTGTTACTGTGCTTTGGTGGAAACTGAACGTTTGACTACGGGTCATCTAGTCACCATGCCACCTGAACTGCCTATCATGACCTGGGTGCTTTCTGACCCATCTAGCCATAAAGTGGGTCATGCACAGCCGCATTCCATCATCAAATGGAAGTGGTATATACATGATAGGGCTTGAGCAGGTCCTGAAAGCACAATTAAGTTACATGAGGAAGTGCCTCAAATGTGAGTACAGGCCTACTCAGGCTCAGGATCATCAGTGTCACTGTCTCCCAGCTCCATATCTCATCCCTCTGGAAGGTCTTCAGGGATAATAACATTCATGGAGCTGTCATCTCCTATGATAACAATGTCTTTTTGTGGATACCTCCTGAAGGACCGGCCCGAGGCTGTCTTACAGCTAATATTTTTAAAAAAATAAGTAGTAGTATACTCTAATGATAAAAACTAGTAATACATAAACTAGTATAATCATCATCAAGTATTATGTATTGCATATAATTTTATGTGTTACACTTTTATATGACTGGTAGTGCCAGTTTGTTTATGCCAGCATCACCACCAATATGTGAGTAATGCATTGCGTTACAATGTTAGGATGGCTATGATGTCACTAGGTGCTAAGGCTTTTTCAACTACATTATAATCTTATGGAGCTACCTTTGCATATGCAATTGACCAAACACCATTATACAGTACGACTGCATTTTAAACTGCTTTTCCATTTTAAACAGTAAAAGTAGACACTTTTTGAAAAATTAGTACCTACTAGCTTTGTCTCCCCTCTCTTCTCAGCAATTTTTCAGTTGCATGATATTTATTTTATCCAGGTTTGTAACATTTGCCTTTTATTCTGTAATCATAATTTCCGAAGTTGTTTAGTATTAGTAAAGTTACATATTTAAACCAGCTATTCTTTACTAAAATGTAAGTTTCATGCAGGCAGGATGAGTTAATTTGCTTCGTTCACTGATGTATCTGAAGCACCTAGAAGAATGTCTGGCACACGGTAGGCATTAATAAACACTTGTTGTTCAATAAATTATTTTCCCAAATTTTTACTTCCTGAGTTTAAAATTTTCTCTAATTGGATTTGATTATTGCATGTAAGTATATAAATAAACATAAAGATACACAGATTTTTCTCCTCCCACTCCATCCCAAGAAAACCTCAGGCATGTTGTGTTGCTTAAGTTCCTTCACATTCGAAAAATGACTATCTTTTGCCTGTATGCTTGTGATGGTTAATACTGAGCGTCAACTTGATTGAAGTATGCAAAATAACAATCCTGGGTGTGTCTGTGAGGGTATTGATTGGACCGAAGGATGCAAAGTATTGATCCTGGTGTGTCTGTAAGAGTGTTGCCAAAGGAGATTAACATTTGAGTCAGTGGCTAGGAAAGGCAGACCCACCATTAATCTGGGTGGGCAACACCTGATCAGCTGCCAGCGCAGCTAAAATACAAGCAGGCAGAAAAATGTGAAAAGACTGCCCTCGCCTCCCAGCCTACATCTTTCTCCATACTGGATGCTTCCTGCCTTTAAATATCGGACTCCAAGTTCTTCAGTTTTCGGACTTGGACTGGTTCTCCTTCCTTCTCAGCTTGCAGATGGCCTATTGTGGGACCTTGCGATTGTGTGAGTTAACTTTTTTTTGAGAAGGAGTCTCACCCTGTTGCCGAGGCTGGAGTGCAATGGCGCGATCTTGGCTCACTGCAACCTCCCATCTCCTAGGTTCAAACAATTCTCCTGCCTCAGCCTCCCAAGTAGCTGGGATTATAGGTGCCCACCAGCATGCCCAGCTAATTTTTGTGTTTTTAGTAGAGACGGGGTTTGACCGTGTTGGCCAGGCTTGTCTCAAACCCCTTATCTTATGATCTGCCTACCTCGGCCTCCCAAAGTGCTGGGACTACAGGTGTGAGCCACCGTGACCAGCTGTGAGTTAATATTTAAACTCCCCTTTATCTATCTATCTATCCATTCTATTAGTTCTGTCCTTCTACAGAACCCTAATATATGAAGCTCTTCAAAACACCATGGGAAATATAAGAGAGTGGTTTTCACACTTAAATTACAACCCATGAATGTACTTTGACATTATTCTAGTGTATTATAACCAACATTTTTTTTAAAGGGACAGAATAAAAACAGCAGAGAGCATAGCATATAAAAAGGGTAAGTATAGTTTCATGACACTTAAATATATGCTTAGGTGTTGTGAGTTTATGTATTGGGCTATGATGTAAAATGTATGTCTAACAGTGAGAAACATTTATTTAACAGCAACAGGGTCTATTTACAAACCAAATAGACCAGGTGTTTTTGTCCTTATTTGGTACTGAGGAGTCTGTAACAGGGTATTGGGAAAACAAGCTCTCTGATATCCCTCTTACCTTTCTCATCATATACAGTAACTATGTAAATGGAAGCCTATCAAAACATCTTGGAGCCCACTACCTTATAATTCATAGGTAGTAGCTAAAAAGGTGCACCTCAGTGATTCAGACTATTCATTACAGTGAGTTTTCACTTTTACAAACCTTAGGTTAGTACCACGCTATATAAATAAATATTAATGATGACTTCATAAAGTTGTGACTAGTTACAGCACACTGCTTGCTGAAACTACTAATAAAATGTAAGTAAAGAGATTAATTTATCACACTGCTACTGCATTGGTAATTAAAGGCAACCACAATTAAGGGGGAAATGAATACAGACCACAGATGCTAAAGCCATGCATGTAAGTAAGAGATGTCAAATCAAATCAAACAAATGTTTAACATTTTATCAGATCTAAAATATGTAAATCTTCTTTCAGTAAATTTTCATAACCTGATGCATCATAAAATGCCCACAAAACTTCTGACTTAAAAATTATATAAAATACATTTTGAAAGCTCTTTTTAATTCAAATTATTTAAATATTAGCATCAGCAGACACTAATATTATTCTGAACATGAATTTGCATGAATCAGAAGTTTAGCTGAAAGGCTAAGTACGACAGAACAAAAAAAAAATCAAAGCCAGTGGTGGTGATGAGCATCTGTAGTCCCAGCTACTCCGGAGGCTGAGGCATAAGGATCCCTTGAGCCCAGGAGTTCAAGGATGCAGTGAACTATGATTGTGCCACTGTACTCCAGTTTCTGCCACCTCATCTCTAAAAAAATTTTTCTTAATATATGCAAATTTCTAGAGGAAAACTTTTTTTAAACCCCAAATTGGTGAAAAATGCCTGACGATATCAGCACTGTATTTAGAAATTAGGGAGGCATAGGAAAAAGGTTAGGCAAACCCCAATGCCCAAAACAGTAATTTCAGAAACGGAAAGCATCTTGAAAACCACTTAGCAATATAGAACTTTACATTTTAACAAAAGCAGGGATAATTTTGATTCACAAATGTCCTTCGTTGTGAATGTACCTAAAAACTTGTTTATAAAGCTGCCTATATGCAATGGAAAAGTCTTTTACAAGATCTCAGGAAAATAACCACTAAATAACATGGTGCACTTATATCGCACTGATCATAACAGTATGACTCACAGCTAATACCGTGCAAATACAAAGATATAACACATTGCTACTCATACTTTATTTGTAATTCAGTACCATGAAAACATTTCTCTAAGAGGTCAATGTAATAATATTTTATTAATCTAGGAACTCTGGCACTGAAAGCGTGAATAACCCAAGGTGATGATGTCGTCACCAAGGGATGACAAGAATAGAACCCAAATCCCTTGACTCCCAAGCTTGTGTTTTCCATTAATTGTGCTCCTTTCTATTCATCCACGAGCATCAAGTGTAAAAGGTTGGAGGAAGGACTGAATACAAATAAGCCAAGTCCGCGAGGTGGAGACTGCACTGAAGGTACTAGGAATCGCCCTTTGGCACTTTCCTTGTTTTGGCTGAGGAAGATGAAAGCAGCAGCAGCCACAAACCCCTGGGACCAAGAACTGGAACTAGGTACTGCCTGTTGTGGTAACTCTCTTCCCCATTTTCGACCTTTCCTTTTTAACCTCTCCTTCCGGCCAAGCCTTGGGGCTCTCTTCCCTTCCCTCGGTTTCCATCCGCTCTCCTTAGCTCCACTCTGCACATTCCTGCCAGGTGTCCCCTTAAGAGGCGGCAGCTGCGCCGCACTGGCTCTCCACCCTCCATCCGGCATGGGCGCCCACTCCTCAGGTGTTCGAGGGGTTAGCAGCGCCACAAGCGCTCTCCCTAGAAAGTGAGTGGCAGTCAAGCATTATGAATGTGTTTCAACTGTAAAGAGACTTATGAGATGGGAACAGGGGCATATACCAAGACGGCTCTGCGTGGGTCTGGGTAGCTCGTCACGACAAAGCAAAACTTAAGACAATAAGCGTTGCGACTTTCCTGCTAGCTGCGAGCTTCACAGCTCAGCCATCCCCTGAGCAACCGCCCACGGGAGGACGCCTTCCGGAGCGCGCGTGTTTACACTTTTTCTGCACCCAGTGGAGGAAACAGGCGCTCCCGAACCACGGGGTATTCCAAACCGTTACTCCGCCCGCCGGGGTGGGGCCAGCACAACGGCCGAGCCTGCGCAGCCGCAGCTCGCGCGCACTACAAGTCCCAGAAGGCAGCTCTCCGTGGGGGCGGGCCGCCGCCTTACCGGCCTCGGGCTCATTTCTACCACTGCTCTCCCCCTCCCTGGTCCCCGCTGGTGTCCTTTCCACAGTTAAAGGCTACTTTCCCTTGAAACACATGAGGAGAAGCCTTAGCAACCTCGCTACCGAACTTCTTCGCGCGCTCGCTTTTTCTGCCTCTGCACCAACTATGCCTGAGTCCCTCACAGGAGTTGGGTAGTGGAGGCGAAACAAGGAAGTCTTTGTAGACCAAAGCTGGGACAATCCGCTCGGACTTCCGCCTCCTGGCCTCCGGAAGGCAGTGCGCACGCGCGCGCTGCGACTCCGGCGCGGTTGACTTCCGCTCCCACTGTGCTCTGCGAGCCGAATCATGGATCACACTGGTAAGGAGGCGGAGGCAGTGGGGGTCCCGGTTCCATGCCCCCTTGGCCGGCCTGGGACTGGTCGCCCAGCAGGCAAAAGGGATTACGCTCGCCCCACAACACTAGAGTGTGGCAGTGAGAAAGAATCTCACAGTTGCCTTCCCGTACGCGGGAGGGGCCTGCTGCTTCCTGGCCTACCCTCTGGTGCGGTACCTACCTCCTTGGTGCCGGCAACAGCCGCTCCTTCTCTGTTTCTGCTGAGCTTCGAGCCCGGACCGGTGGGCAGCTTAGGCCTTTGGGAAGGGAGGGCGCCGGCTCTGTTTTATTCAGCCCAGCTGCTCTGCCCTGCATTATGGGGACTCGCGGGTAGACTGCGGTCTCGGAGTCGCGGAATCCGCTGGGAGTGGATGGACGAGAGTGGGCTGGAGACTTCCTGCTGTCTCAGTCAGCTTTGGGCGGGTGCTGCAGTTGTAACCTCCTGTCGTCTCTCCTGTCCTTCATGGACTAGAGAGGTGAAAGAAGGGAGTCGGATATAGTTTTTGGAATCAAACTTGGAGGAGCTTTTCTGCCTAAACCAAAAGCATGCCCCACGCTTCGGCTGTTGTCCTTACTCATCATTTGAGGGTATTTAGGAGGAGGAGCTTAAAATCAAGACATTCTCATCCTTTTCTCCAAGTAAGAGTAGCTCCACCCTTTGTTGTGTGTTTTCTGGCTTTTGCTTCTTTCTGGTTCTTGGATGGTGAATGTGTGCTCTTGGAATTAACAAGTGCCCCATACAGTTATAGCGACCATATCACAAATAGAGAAAAAGTATTTTTTGTAAGTATTGAGTTGTCCTCACTCATCATGTATCTATTATATAATTAGGTGTGTATGTTTATTTATTTATGCCAGATACATACAGATATCTGTAGGTCGGGAGATGGAGGATGGAATGGTAAACAAGACGAACCAAGTCCCTGATAGACCTTCTATTTTATGGAAGAACACAGACAATAAGTTCTTTTTTATTGTTTGTTTGCAGATTATAAGTGTTTTGAAGACAAGAAACGGGTGTTGTGGAGAGATTCATAGGAGGAAATTTCAGAGAGGGTTGTTAGGAAAGGTCTTTGTGGAAGGGTGACATAGCTAAGATCCGATGGATGAGAAGAATCCAGTCCTGGGAAAAAAGCAGGAGGAAGAGCATTTCCAGCAAGTGCATAGTTGCTGAGTAGGAAGATGTAGCAAAGTTAGCTGCAGCCTAGTAATAGCCAGAGTTAAGAGTCCTGAAGTGAGATTGGAAAGGAGGGCAGCCGTCACATTCAGGTCATTGAAAGCCATGGTAAACGTTTGAATTTTATTTTAAGTGAATATGAAGGCATTGAACAGAAGTAGAGGAAGAACACAGTCTCTTTAAACAATGTAATAGGCTGTTTTATGGAGAATGGTGTAAGAGAGGGAGGTAAGAAGGTTGGAAAATAGGTGATTGCAGTAGACTGGAAGGGAAGATTGGTTTGGTGGAAATGAAGAATGAGCAGCTTCAGTAAATACTTGGGTAGTGTTTGGAGGAATGTGAGAGAAAGGAGAAATGCCTACGTTTTTTTTTTTGAGCAGCTAGGTAGTGTCCATTATTGAGTTGAGGATAACTTGGGGGAGAAAAACAGTCCTTTTTTTGTAGAAGTGAGACAGGAAAATTTGGGAATAAGTGTTTAGTCTTGGACTACTTAGTGTGAGACAGCTGTTGAGACACAGGAGAGGAGATGTCAAGTGGAGATGAGGGGTAAGAACTGCACTGAAAATACGTATTTGGAAGTTAGTACCTTTATTTATAGCTGGTATTTTAAAGCATGAGGACAGATGAGACATGTAAGAAGGGTGTGCTCAGCGGGGAAGCCGGCCTAGAACCAGGCTGTAAAGAATTCTAGTGTTTGGGAATTTATATAGAGTTGAAACTCTGAAATTTTGATGTTAGAATAGCAAACATTCAGCTTTAGGAAAATAATTCTTATTTGAGCCCATTACTGGAATTGTGAGTCAAGTTCCTGCCATGGTTGAGAGGCTGTTATGTTAGGAAATCATAATAGGGGTGGGTGTAAAGAGTATTATCTTAATTCTTGAAGTTAAAAGATTGCCTAAGGAAGTAAAACTCATCCTAACATGAAAATATTCACTAATGAGCTAACCATTTAAAAATTAGTTCCCACTCAAATGTCCCTTCTGCTTAACACTAGCTTCTTACATTTTTTTTAATGACTCAGTCTCTTTCATGTTTAGTATCCGAAGACAGTATCAAATACTGTGCCTTGATTGTGAAATAAAATTATAAACCTTACAGAAGATTCTGGTTTTCATGAAATTCATAAACATGAATTTGATAACTGTTTAAATCACAAAGCCTTTGGCAAATGAGGAAATGCCAGTTAGCTAGATAATTGAAGAATCATGACAGGATAGGCTTCTCAAAAGAATAATTTTAATGTTGAAGAATTAAGAGGTTCTTGGGGAAATTGATGAAACCCTTGAACATTATGCAATAATGACCCATTTTATGATCATACTGAAACATTCAAATGTAAAATGAAGGTGTTCTAATAGAATTTTTCCAGAAAAATTACTCCAGGAGGCTCCCAGTTAGATTTATTCTTTGGTCATTCTAAGAATTAGCACTTCGGTAACTGTATCACAGATTTTGTAAAATATTTGTTGGTTCCTTTTATTCAAGATAAAAATCCTAAATCTTTTTTAAACTATATAATATGGAAGTGTGCCTTTTTAAAGTGAATAAAAGTGAATATAACTTAAATCATAGTAGTTCTTAGTTATGTTCTGTGTAATACCTAAGAAATTTTTATTGTTAAGAACTTTATAATTTATCACTGTATTCAAAAGGAAATTGTGCTTTATGTTCTGATTCTTAATTTAAAAACAACAGAAAGCAAAACAGCCCCCAAAGAAACCCAGAGTGTTATTACTATTAGATGCTGTACCTCATGAACTTGAATATGTGAAGCAAAGTGGGAAAGGCCAGCCAGCTCTTGAAAGTTGTAGGCTATGCAAGCAACAGTAAAGACCTCAAGTGTTCAGGATGGTGTGAAAAGAACTTGTAGTAATGAAGTGTTGGTATTTTCATTCACAAAGGTAAAACCATTAAACCATTTTGATATTTGAATATTTAATATTTGAGGGACAGCATTGAACTGATTATGTGTCTACAACTACTTGCTTTTTAGTTCATTGTAATGTCAGGAACACTTTTTTGGGCAAGAAAAGCCATTCATATTTCTTCTGGCCAACGCATTGCTTGTAAGTACTTTTACGTACATAAGCAACTACAATGAAAGCAGATGAAATGCGTTAATCACCTTGTGAGTATATTTAGTGAAGTGTTGAAAGCTGATCAGGTTGGGTTTATCCTAACTCAGGATTCTAGCTAACCATGGAATTCCCTTTCCCCACTTTTTTTTTAAGATTAGCTGTTGTAAGAGTAGTAAGTATACTGAAAGATAATTAAAATAATCATTAAGGACCCATTTTTCATTTTGTTTGAGATATTGTTCAGAAAAAGTGCAAATGAATGTGAACTTAGTGTGTGTCTATAATCATAATCGCCTTGGTGGCCATTAATACTAGCTTGCTACTTCCAAATTTGGCTTTGCTGAATTTAATGTGGATGGTTTGGCTGTCAATCTTGACTGTAATATTTCCTGCCGGGGCAGTTACACAACGTTGTTCAATAACTTGTCATGTTTAAAACACTACAAATTAAAAAATATGTTATTTGTATTTCCTGTTTTAAGCATTTTCCTTTTTGTCTTTAGTAGGTCAAGTTAAATATTTATTTTTCGTCTACTTGAACAAACTCTTAAGCTTTAGGTGGAGTCAGTTCTATGAAATAATACTCCTGTTACTCATGGGACAAGAATTAATCTATTCTATAGACAATAACAAGCAAAGACTCCAGGGACTAGAAAGTGACAGTTGTTTAGACCTAGTTGTATTACAGGAACTTTGCATTCTCTTAAATTATAATTTTCCATTACAGGGCCGACTAAGAACTCAAGTCACATGTTATAGCACAAATACATTATTGCATGTTTTTACTACTAAATGCTATAATGATTTTTACTATATTTCTGAATGATTTTTAGAATAACTATTATACACTTAAAGAATAATCACATTTCTTAAAACTTCACTTTCAAATGGATTATTTAATTTTGACTTCATCAGTTTTAGAAAGTTCAGTTTACTAAATTTATTGTCTGCTTTACAAGCTTGATGATCAAACATGGAAATAGGGATGGTTTCCTTTTTCTTCTTAATCCTTTTCTTTTAAAAAACATCTCTTATGGTTCAAGACAATGATTCTTAGGTTCAAGAATGGTTTCTTGTTTCTGTAAACTCTCGAATTATATGAAAAATTGTATTCACTTCTCTAGGGAGAGGTTGTATGACTTTTATCAATTTCTTAAAGGATTCCATACCTCAAAAAGGGTTAAAAAGCATCGTCTTAAGTTCTAATCCAAAACAAATAAAATTAATAGTTAATGTAATTTTGAAAGTCAGAACCCAGATCTCTAACCTTGATAACGTTAGGTATGTTGTTTTAATACCTATGGAATAATTTTCAAAAAGAAAAACTAAAAGAAATTACAACTTTTTTTTTCCTAACATAGACAATGAGTTACAAGGCACTAATAGTTCTGGATCCTTGGGTGGTCTTGATGTTCGCAGACGAATTCCTATAAAGCTCATCTCCAAGCAAGCAAACAAAGCAAAACCTGCACCTCGAACTCAAAGGACTATAAACAGGATGCCTGCAAAGGCTCCACCTGGTGATGAAGGTAATGTTTTTAACTAACAGGTCCAACACTCTTTCTCTTTTATCTGATTGCTCCAGATAGTGTATGTGATCTTACTTACTGGCCACCTCTTTTTTATCTTACATATTCTATTCATTCTTCAACCTTCTTGTTTGACTTCTCGTTTTAGCACATTGTATTTTTATTTCCCTTTATACATATTTTTGATTTGGTTTCTTTTGTTGTTGAAGGCAATACAGCTCATTGTTCAGTAATCTAAACAGTATTGCAGAAAACAACATTAAAAGTAAAACCCTTCTATTCGAAGATAGTCCCTGTTGACTTTTTTATACAAAAGTATTAATTTTTTTATGTGTAGTTGCCATTTTTTCATGTAATAGGCATTTGAGATTTTTTTTCTTATTAGTACATACAGATCTGCCTTATTAAAAAAATAGATTTGAGTATTTATAGACATACCATAATTTATTTAACAGTTTTTCCATTTTTTTGCTGTTACCAAAAATGTTGCACCAGATACTCTTGGACATATAATTTAGAATGTATACTTTGTAGAATTTTTACTTTGCACAGATTTGGCCTTTTTTTTTTTTTTTTTTTTTTTAACTCCAAAGACTTTAAAAACTACAAATTTGGATATTTTAAAACTTGATAGATACTGTGCGTTTTAGAGTATGACAAGTACTGTCAAACTGTTCTTCAAAGAAAGTATGTTTATACTCCTACACACCAATACTATTAGAAACCTTTTAAAATTTTTGAATCGATGTAAATTTCTTTTAATTATGAAAGAGTTTATATTTTTTCATACTATTGGTCATCCTTCTTTAGATCCTTTCTTCTGAGTTCTTTGTGAATTAATAGGATTTTTGTTACATAGTGTATATATTATTTTCTTCTTCTTTTTTTTTTTTTTTTTTTTTTTTTGGGACTGGGTCTTACTCTGTTTCCCGGGCTGGAATCCAGTGGTGGGATCATGGCTCGATATTCCAGGCTCAAGTGATCTTTCTGCTTCAGTCTCTTGAGTAGCTGGGACTGCAAGTGCATCCCATCTGCCTGGATAAGTTGTTATGTTTGTTTTTGTAGTGATGGGGTCTTGCTTTGTTGCCCGGGCTGTTTTGAACTCCTGGGTTCAACAGTCCTCTCGCGTTTGCCTCCCAAGGTGCTGGGATTACAGGCGTGAGCCACTGTGCCTGGCCTATATTGTATATATTCTCCATTTGTCTTTTGAATTTTGTATACAAAATATTTATTGCAGAGAATCTTGAAGATTCTATGTAGTCAGATATCCACTCTTTGCTTTTATGACTGCTGGGTTTTATGACATTCTTTGAAAGGCCTTTCCCTATTTCACCAGTATAAAACAATTTTTTCATCTTACCCTTCATTACAGGTTAGCAAATTATGTCTGTGGGCCAAATGTAGTCCTGTTTTTACAAATAATTTTATTGGAACACAGCTATGCTCTTTCATTTAAGTATTCTCTATGGGGGCTTTCACACTGTAATGGTAGAGTTGAGTAATTGTGATTGAGACCATAGGGTCCACAAAGCTAAATATTTACTATTTAGCCTTTCACAGAAAAAGTTTGCTGACACTGCTTTGGAACATTTATGGATGTGTTTTTGGTTATTAAGGGGAAAGAAGGCGGGGTTGGGCTCTTTTTTTTTCCCCAAAATATTGTCCCAACTCTTTTCCTTGCTGAATAGGAATTTTACTATCATCATAGATACGTTAAAGCAGTGGTCCCCAATCTTTTTGGCACTGGGACTGGTTTCATGGAAGACAGTTTTTCCACACATGGAGGGTGATGGCAATGTGTGGGAGTGGTTTCTGGATGCAACAGTTGCATTAATTAGATTCTCCTAAGGAGCACCAGCCTAAATCCCTCTCTTGCACAGTTCACGATAAGGTTTGCATTCCTTTGAGAATCTAATGCTGTTGCTGATCTGACAGGAGGTGGAGGCAGAGGTCAAGTGGTAATGCTCACCAGCCCTCCCCTCACCTCCTGCTGTGTGACAGAGTTCCTAACAGGCCAGGGTACTGGTCCGAGGTCTGGGATTTGGGCACCCCTGTATTAAGGGTCTGAAAGTATTTGTTTGTATTTCTAGACTTTCTATTCTATTCCAGCAATTTGTCTGTATTTCTTTTGTAGACTCAAACTGCTTCAGTTACAACTTATGATTTCCTTTATTGTAGGGTTTCTCTCCCATCTAAACAAGTCTATTTGAAGTCAAAATGTTATAAATCATGTTAGTAATAACCTAGGGCTGCTGCTGCACTGTCTGTAATTTAGGATCACTCCTGCTTTGGCTTTTTTTTTAAAAAATAATTTTTTAAAACAACATGGTAATGTACAAATACATTCTTGTAATAGTTCAAACAATGCAAAAAAGCCAAAATCCTCTTTGCCATTTTCCCTTTTGGATTTTGGAGTCAAAAAAATTTTTTTTGATTGTTTTTTTTTTCTAAGCATCAATCAAAATGTGGAGGTTTGGGTGCCAGTATGGTATCTACACAAATATATATAGTTTAATGATGGGAGTACAGGTGGAAATACTCTGAAAAATGATAATGTGCTCCTAATTTCCTTGGCTGTTACCTCAATAATTTTCTGGGTTTGAAAAATTGAGTTTCCTTATTTTGAATTTCAGATCACACCAGCTTTTTTAAGGTGTAAATGGGTGATACAAGAGCCTAGGAACACTCAGGTGTAACTTACAAGAGCACCCTGACTTTGGAGTATACATTTGTATTGGCAGTAATTAAATAGCAGTACAATGAAGTGTCTATCAGCTTCAAAAAATTCTTGCATCATTATGTGTGTATGAATGTATCTGTGTGTGTGTGTCTATGTCTGTGTATAGGTGCTGTCATTTAGTCATGTGGGTAAAGTTAAAACTTGTGCGCTTGGCTACTCTGTTTACCAGTTCTAGGGCCAAAAAGAGTCATGAGAAGCCTGACACCTTGGAGGGATATATTTGTCTTCTCAGCTTTACTTTAGGTAATTGGATTCTACCTAGAATTCCCATCAGACTGTTCATTGGTTTTCTGTTCCTTTGTAGGAGATGAGAAGATTGCCATCAAGTTTTTAATGAGGCCAGAGAAATTGAGCCCATTTGATCTTCATATATCTTAAGTTTATTGATACTGATAAATGCATTGTAGGAGAGGATGTATAAGATATGTTACGGCTCCTGTTTGGGTAATCAGGGAGTGGTTTTAATTGACAGGATGAAATACGAATATGTTGAAGTGTCTGCATCTCTCATTTTAGGGCTCAAGAAGGGGATAACTCATTGGCTAATAAAATCTATAAAATGCTTTACGTTTTTATTATATTCTAGGCAATAAAATCAGTCTTGAAGCATACCATTTTTGTAGCTAGACTAGAATAAATGGTAATCAGTATCTTAAAAATTTGTGCAACTAGCATGATAATCAGTAATCAGTAAAGTTTTACATTAGAAATCATCTCATGAATTGATAAGAACATTTGAATGTAGTCAAAAGATCTGAGGTCTGTTCCTGGCTTTGCCACTTATCTTCTATATGTTGAGTTATTATGAGTCTTCATATAGTAATATTCTCAGTAATGTAGTGAAAGAGTTGGACTAGGTCACCAAGATTACCTCTAGCTGATGTTTTAAACTAAACTTGATTGTCTTATTTTTAGAAAAGTTTTGAAAGGCATCAGATGGGATTTTTAGTGAATAGGTCTATTTTGCTATGAATATATATATATATATATACACACACACACACACATATATATACACACACGCACACACACACACACACACACATATATATATATATATATGTACGTATGTATATGTATATGTACTTCCACAATGAAATTTGAGATTTGGCAAGTTAACCAACAACAGTTTTTTGTTTTTTTTTTTCAGAAGGATTTGATTATAATGAAGAAGAACGGTATGACTGTAAAGGGGGTGAGCTGTTTGGAAATCAGCGGAGATTTCCTGGACACCTTTTTTGGGACTTTCAGGTATAATTAATAATGAAAAATTTTATTAGAACAGTAAAATATTTTAGGTATTAAGTACTTAAAATGTTTTATTGGTGTAATGCACAATTCATAAAGAATGTCATGAACTTGCTATGATTTTCAGTACATACAAATCATTTATTAATACCATATTTTCAAGAATAATTGGAAGTAATTTTAGTAAAATCAGTAGCCATTAACACTAAGAAGAAAAACGAATGGAAACACAGGTAATGGTGGGGAATATATGGAGATTACATCAGGGAGCCTTTATTTCTAATTGTTTTAACAACTTTTGTAAAACACTAACCAATTCATTGTGTAGATACAATCTTTAGAATTGTGTAAGAAGGTTAATTTTAATTACATCATTTCAACAGATAAACATCTTAGGTGAAAAGGATGATACACCAGTTCATTTCTGTGACAAATGTGGATTGCCTATTAAAATCTATGGGCGAATGGTAAGTATAATTAAATAAAATATTGTTTTTATAAGTAAGCATTTGCATAGAGGTGGGGTTCTGAAGTTTAGATAGGTTTTCATTGTTTAATGACTGTGAAATTTTAAATAAGTATGAAATAACTAAGGGAAGTATTGGAATACTATGAATTTAATATGATTATCTTGACAAATTATTGAATTCTTGTAAAATGTTATTCTATTAAATAAACTGAAAATTAGAATAACTTCTGAAAACTAATTTCTTTGGACTGTTTGATACCAGTTATTGACAATTATTTTAGTTTATTAAGGAAAATTTTTTTCTTAATAAATAGAGCAAAACTACTTATTTTTGAAGGCCACTTTTTTTTTTTTTTTACATAAAACTGCGTTAATTTAATTTCTGTTTTTTTCCTGAGTCTCAGAGAGGCTTAATAATTTCCAGAAATTGAATTCTAATCATTAAAAAGATTTTACAATTCTTACTAATTTTATAGTAATTTTTACATTCTTCCCTCAAAAAAAGATGGTTTGTGTTTGCATTTGGAAAAAAATTGAATTCAGTAACATGCCTGTGATGGTAGAGGGTGTGGATTATGCACTGTTAACTTTGCTGCACATCATAGTAAGGAAATAGTAATAGACTATGAATTAAAAAATGTGGTTCTAACATCATTTTACTGTATCCTTCTGATTGATGTTTAGATTTTTATTAATTAACTTAAAATTACCAGAGGAAAATGCTGCTTATATTAAATATAGGACATACTTGTTATTTTACTTCATTGGAATCGTTTCAGAAGAAACAAGATTAAAAAAAAGTAATAAGGCCGGTGGTGGCTCACGCCTGTAATCTAAGCAGTTTGGAGGCCAAGGCAGGTGGATCACCTGAGGTTGGGAGTTCAAGACCAGCCTGACCAACATGGTGAAACCCCGTCTTAAAAAAAAATAATAATAAAAAATAAATAAATAAAAATAATAATTAAAGCGTTCTTCAGGAGCTTTTTACCTGCAGGGGCCTCGGTGTGGTGGTTCACACCTATAATCCCAGTGCTTTGGGAGGCTGAGGTGGGAGGATTGCTTGAGTCTGGGAGTTTGGGACCAGCCTGGACAACCTAGTGAGACCCTATCTCTACAATAAAATAAAATAAAATAGCCTGGTGTGATGGCACACACCTGTATTCCTAGGTATTCTGGAGGTTGAGGTGGGAACATTGTTCAGGAGTTCGAGGTTGCAGTGAGCTGTGATCACACCACTGCACTCCAGCCTGGACAACAGAGCAAGATCTGTCTCTGAAAAGAATTAAAAAAAAAAAAAAGAACGAAAAAAGTATATGGGGACCATGGGTGAAAGTTATAGGGTTTATACCTCCAGAAAGTGTAAGCAAATGTGTATGTGTACATTTATTGGAAAAAGGGCCATAGTTTCTGTCACATTCTCAAAGGCTTTGTGATTGAAAAAGATTATAAAAATTAGTACTTAATAAATGTTCATTTTAACAGATATTCTCAAGTGTCTTCTAAGCCTTCTAATGTATAGGGCACTATACTTTTTTTTTAAATAAATATTTTAAGTTCTAATATGCTTAACTGTAATATGTCTTTGTTTACAGATTCCATGCAAGCATGTTTTTTGCTATGACTGTGCTATTTTACATGAAAAAAAGGGAGATAAGATGTGTCCAGGGTAAGATAAGATTATCATTACCTTTTTTAAAGAATAAAGTTTTAGTACAGTGATTTGTAAGTTGTATTATAGAGGTTTGGGGGTGATAGAAATCAGGCATATAGACGTGGCTAATCTTTTTCTGTGAGCTTCGGGTTTCTCTTTAATATAGGGCAAGGTAGCCACTGTCAGTCAACTCAAGTTGGTCAAGATGAAATCTGTTTGCCATTATAGAAGTATTATTATAAACCAAAAAGTTACTTTTTTTGATGAGACATTAAAGAAGTAGTAAGGTATATTGAGAGCAGACTCCAGAATTAGAATTCCTGGGTTTGAATCCCTGTTCTGCTATTTATTAGCTGTGTTACTGTCATAGGCTGTTCTTTATTGATAAAATGAGGCTGATAATAATACCTGCCTCCTCGAGGTATTTTTAGGATTAAATGAGGTTTTATATGTATATATACCATATGTATACACATGCATATATGTATAGTAGCTGGCATATAGTAAGCACTATATAAGCTCTTATTACTTTCAAATCTGATTATTATATCTTGAGTATATCTTACAACACCATCGTTACATAGTCTCAAGTTATAAAAAGCTAGATCCACTTTGGGATGGTCTTGAAGAAACCAGAGTAAGAATTTTTAGATCAATGCAGAACCCTTAATAAGGAAGGCTTAAGAAAGAATGAGAGAAATAGAGAAAAACAAACAAAAAAAGAAAAAACAAAAACAACAGCAAAAAGAATGAGTGATACTTGCTTGGAATAGCCACAGACTTCCCAGATTCCTTATAACCTGTCCTTAAAGCTACCCCAAGATTTGTGGTATTGATCGATAACAAAGCTGTGGTCACTTGTTAGCAATGATTCCCTTTTATGGTATAGAAAAATGGACATCACCAGGAGAGAGAGGGGTGATTTAGACAGCTCAATAACAACTAATTCTCGGTGTGTTTCTAGCTTTTTACAGTAACAGACTATAAAATTTGTGCTATGAGTTTTTAAAAATTTTGTTTATAGAATTATAATTCAGAAGAGTTAAGACATAAGAAGTATATATCACTTGTTTTTTGTGTTTTCTCTAATGCCTAGTTTTTAACTTGGAATACATTCATTTTAAGTTACATAGTAAATTTGATTGCCTCATTGGGATAAAGGATTCCAGATGTGGTAAAACATTATATAGAGGACTTTTAAAGGTTTCCTCTTTTGTATAAGTATTGTAAGAAAATTAAAAGATACCTATTGTTTAAAAGGAAATTAGTTCTCAAGGTACTAAATGTAACTAATGTACTGAATATACTAATATACTAATCTTACTAATGGACTAAATGTAACAAGGTACTAAATGTCACACCTCACATATGTGGTCCTTATTAGGACAGAAGGTCCTTAGGACAGAAGCCTATCTGGATTAACAGACCCAGATCAGGAAGTGAAGAAATGGCAATTAGAGTTAAACAGTATATATTACTGTTTTTGAACACCACCCAAGAGAAAGTGCCTCACCTTTTGTTAAGGTGGAGATAGTTCTGAGTTTACACTGAACTAGAAGCACAAAACAAGTGTGCCAGGTGGCCACTAAAGGGAAGCATAACAACATCAATAAGGAGTGCCAGCCTTATAGTAAGGATGGAAAAATAGCCACAACTCAAAATCAAGAGTATAGAGCCATTTAGCATAGTGTCAAATGACCTGACACACATATTCAATGATAGTTGCTTATAGTGCTTAACTGGGGATTAAATACTGTCACTTTAATTTGATATTAAGAATATTCTTTTAAGTAATATGAAGTAGATATAAAAACACTGTGAAGTAGAGTAGGTATTTTAACCTCATTGTACACGTGAAACAAACTCACAAATGGTTCAGTAACCTCAAATTACTGAGCGAGATCTTCAGATTCCTATTTCAGTCCTCTTTCCCCACTGTTCCTGTAACAGCAAGTATGGATTAAATATGATAAATGAAAAATAGTTATAATTTTGTCTCTGAGTTTTTAAGAAAATGTTAAGTTAAATTTAGTGCTCACAAATCAGAAAGGTAGAAAAGTGTAAATTTGTCTCACAATCCAGAAAAACCCTTTCTTTAAGGGACTTTTAATAGTCAAGGCTTGGATTGGAATTGTTTGTGTTTAATGTTAAGAACCCTAATGATGAGGCTGAAGTTACTTGTAGTCCTTTGCAGTATCTTCTACTTACTGTTTTCCACTTAGTGTTATTTGCTCAACAAACACTTATCACACTCAGTAATACAAGTTTGAATTTCATGATTGTAAGTAATCAATCCTTTGGTTTTTTTTTCTTCCTGGGTTTTTTTTTTTTGCAAATGGATGCAAAACATAAAATTGTTTGAGAAAATTGGATAAATTCTAGGCCTTGGGAAGAGTGAGGTCTCTTCTTGAAACATACTGTTTAAAATGAGGAGTTCTGAAGTTGACAGCAATGCCTATGCTTAATGGCTAATAGACAATAAAGTAGGGAAAATTAAAGGTTCATGTAGAATAACTATAACTTCTAATTGTGGACTTTTGCTATGTTTTGTGTAACAGTCAAATTTTGAAAAAAGGCGTATTTTTGAAAATTATGTAATTTTTATATTCTCTTTTAGTAAATCACATTTTTTTCCCTTCTAATTTAGCTGTAGTGATCCTGTGCAGCGAATTGAGCAGTGTACACGAGGTTCTCTCTTCATGTGTAGCATTGTTCAAGGGTGCAAGAGAACATATTTGTCTCAGAGAGACTTACAGGCTCATATCAACCATCGCCATATGAGAGCTGGAAAACCTGTTACCCGTGCTTCACTTGAAAATGTTCATCCTCCTATTGCCCCACCACCAACTGAAATCCCCGATCGTTTTATAATGCCACCAGACAAGCACCATATGAGCCATATTCCGCCAAAGCAGCACATCATGATGCCACCACCTCCTTTGCAACATGTGCCACATGAGCACTATAATCAGCCACATGAGGATATTCGAGCTCCTCCAGCAGAATTGTCCATGGCTCCACCTCCACCTCGATCGGTCAGTCAGGAAACCTTTCGTATTTCAACAAGAAAACACAGCAATTTAATAACCGTCCCTATTCAGGATGACTCAAATTCAGGTGCTAGAGAACCACCACCTCCTGCCCCAGCACCTGCTCACCATCATCCTGAATATCAGGGTCAACCAGTGGTATCTCACCCTCATCATATTATGCCTCCACAGCAACATTATGCACCACCCCCACCTCCTCCACCACCAATAAGCCATCCAATGCCACATCCTCCCCAGGCTGCAGGTACTCCTCACTTGGTATATAGCCAAGCTCCACCTCCACCAATGACCTCTGCTCCACCACCAATAACCCCTCCCCCTGGACATATTATTGCCCAGATGCCACCTTATATGAATCATCCTCCTCCAGGACCTCCCCCACCTCAACATGGTGGTCCACCTGTAACTGCACCCCCTCCTCACCATTATAATCCTAACTCATTACCCCAGTTCACTGAAGATCAAGGAACTCTGAGCCCTCCATTTACACAGCCAGGGGGAATGAGTCCTGGTATATGGCCTGCACCAAGAGGGCCACCTCCTCCTCCACGATTGCAGGGCCCGCCTTCTCAAACCCCACTTCCTGGACCACATCATCCAGATCAGACGAGATATAGACCGTATTACCAATGATGATAGTATTTTGAACTGAAGATATGAGGAGGAAAAACAACTTATGTATAGTCAATCTTTTAATTAAGCTTTGACTGTTTGGGGAAGGAAAAGTACCTCTTACGGAGGTAGTATAAAACACATAGGGTCTTGTTTCTTAAAATGGTTTTGAATCTTGACCTTAGGATTGATTTCAAGTACCATACTGTAGTACAGATAAGTGGCTGAGTTGAGCACAGCTGTATTTTAACATCTTTGTTCCCCTAGTTTAGTAAATTGACCTAGAGGTGACCATTTGTAAAAAATTTGAAAAAATTTTTTGTTGTTTTACTTCACAAGTATTGTTTTGTTAAACCCAATGTTTAATTTTTCTTGTGATACATTTTGTTAACCTGTGTAAAAGGATTAAATTTCAATATGGTTGTAAAAATGCTATTTTTATGTGAATTTAAGTGCAGCCACGTACTGTTTTTTAAATCATATGTTTTACCACTAATTTCCCAAAGTTACAATAAAACCCTAAAAGTAAAACTCTACTAGAATTTGCATAAGGCAGACTGTTAAATGATAGAGAATTATTTCACATTTTAGGCACTGAAATTTAGAGGTTTTGAGGTATAGTAAGTATACAATGCACTTCATTTGGATGCCTTTTCATTTTTAGGCAGCCTCAGGAGCACCAAAATACATTGGAATTCTACTACTAAGACATATTTGTAATGTTAAAAGGCATTACTAATTATTTGGAAAGATAAGGCCAAAGTAATCAGCTCTACAGACTTCAAGTTGTTGGGGGAATACTGTTACTTATTAATGCTTTTTTACTGAATGGTTGGAATCACATATGCACCACACATATTGATCTTAAGTAACATTATTTTATAAAACTGTTTAAATGGTGTTATTTAGATGAAATGTGTTCTGTTTTGTTCATTGTCTTAAACTGAATAGGGCCGAATAGGCTTTATGTAATTCCTCATTTCATGTTAGAGTTTGATCCTGTGTTAAGTGGGTTTATAGGATTTTCAACTACAGTTTGAATGCCATGGAGGAGTTTGAATAATGTATTAATGAAGGACATATTCTTGTAATCACGAATTTGCATTTGCTCAGGTTTTCATTGCTGTGTGATAGGGTTTTTCCTCTAACTTGAAATTTAAAAACTTTCATTTCCTATTCCTTTTGTTGGTAAAGCAGTCTGAATTTGTAACATTTTAGCATGGAGTCAACAGTGAAGACTACCAGATAATTTTGTGTTGCAGAAGAGGAAAGTAACAGCTAAATTGTGGATTTCAGTGCTTTATATGGTGCCTTTAGGGTCAGATTTTACATTATAGGGGCTTGTTATAGTTCAGCTAAGATGACCACTTAACAGTTTATACAGAACTCATATGTATAAACCAACATTCTTAGGATATTATTTATATCCTTTGAATAAATCCCTGTGAAATTTTTCCTCCCCACTAAAATGGTGCATAATAAAACATGAAATGTGTAGTATGCAGATATCATTTATTAGATAGTTTGTAGTGTATACATTTAGGACATATTTCTTTTGACAAAGGGTGAACTGATTGCTAATTTACCATTTTATTCTGTCAGGTACAGGTGAAACAAATTCTCGAATGATCAGATGCAAAATTATTTCTGAACCCTAGAGCAGAAGTTAGAAATAATAAAATAACTGTTTCAATCTTGACTGGCCAAAAATAACTAATAGGCTTTTAAAAGTCAAGCTTAAGTGATTTTCTACACTTAGCGGTTTGAAAGTCCAGTGTTAATGCAATATTTCTAGTGAGAAATGCTTGTTATTAAAAGCATGGGAGTGAAATAGTATGAAATGTTGGTGGTGAGTGCTTCTTTCATATTACTGTAGGTACTTGGACTGGTGCAAACTTGATTCCTTTTCATGCCCCTGTTTAGGAGATATTAAAATATAACTTAAAAATTTAAACCATTTTTGTTCCATGTAATAAGAAAATAACCAAATTCACTTTAGAGCTTCTCGACTATTTATAAAGAGATCTCCTGCTTTTATTGAAATTCACTAGAGTTGAATGTGGTAAGAAGCCATTTAGCCTGTGTATTGGATGAGAAAATCAGTATCATAAAATTTCAAATTAAGAATTCTTGTAGGGTTTTAAAAAAGTGTTTTATTTTCAATTAGGTTTAAGAAATCTATGTTATGCAGGAGGAATATCAGATGAATGTCTTGTAGCAGAAGTTTAAAATCGTGTTAGACTTGAATTCATCAATTGTTTGAATGAGGGTGGGTGGGTAGAAGGATAACAAAATTACTGTTAGTGTTTCTTAAGGAAAAAGATGTGAATCCCAGCCTTATTTCAGGGAAGCCTTTGAAGCTATGATGGACATAAGTCTAAATTAAATGTATGTATGTTTCATTATATTGCTCTTAAGACTACTGAGGTGGCAGTTTAATTCTTAAAAACAATAAAATGGAAGCATAAATACTATTTTGCCTAGATGAATTTTTATGTATTGGCACATTTGGGAGAATGCAGAATTTTCCATGTTTATGTTGAAACAACTTTCTACAGTAAAATTACGTTCACTTCTAAAAGATTAAAACCAGCAAGTTGAATGTTATATTTCTTCAGTGGCACATTTATTCAGAGTGTAATAAAGTATTTGGAGAAAGATCTGTTGCAAAGACTATGCGAAACTATATTCATTTTGCCGTGTAAAAACTACTTGCTCAAAATCATTGTGTAAACACTAATTTGATACCACTGAAATGTAAATGGAAGAGCTATTTGAACATATCTTTTAAACTCACAAGAGGCTATTGGCTTCATGAAGTAAATATACAGAACTGCCATAAGACTTTCTTCTGATAATATATTGGAAGAGTATGATTTGTAATCTTTTTGGGAAAACTCTACAGTTCCATCTTTCATAAATTTTTTGAAAATGCCCCATATTATGAGTATGTGAAAAAAGTGCATGAGTACTCAAAGATACTTCTTCATTAGATTAGCTGTCAAATTAGTATGTTGATGTTAAACATACTATATTCTGATTGAAGTGGTCTTACTCTTCTTCACTAGTTTGTAATTTGCTAAATTATGGCCTAGAAACCAATCAGTCTACTTAATACAGTATATGCAAATCTAATAAAGCAATATCAGATATTATAGGCTTAACGGGAAGTAGGTAAAAGACTTGGTAGTGATGCTTGTTTTGATTCATGCCCCTTCAGTTTTCCATCATTGAGGGAAAAAGTTTTAAGGCAGAATTCCGAACACTTTAGTGCTTAATTTTTCTGCATCCCCATCTTTAAAAATTTTGAAATTTTTGGCACTGTAGAATCATGGGATTGAAATGAATAAGAAGTCATGAGTTTAGTTCTCAATTGGGTAGGACCTCTTTTAAAAAAATCTATTCACTAAAAAATGCTAAAACTTTGTTTTTGGTAAAAGGATTATTCTGGCTGTAGGATAAGAAAAGACCAAGGAGGCTAAAATGGAAGCAGAGGCAGTAGTCAGAAGGGTGTTTTAATAATTTACACATAAGATGATGGTGGTAACATTACCAGGTATCAAGAAGTGGGAAGTGGGTGACTTGTGGGAGGATATACATATACATATATATGAAGTATTGATTTATAAAATTAAACACCTATTAAATATGTTAGATGTGGGTATATGATAATGAACAAAGTAGATATGGTCTCTGCCCTTGAGAAGTTTATATTCTAACTTACCTAGGAATTGTTCTTGACAGTCTTTAAATTTTCTTCAAACATTGTCCTTATGTTCAAAGTATAGTGGCCAGGAAATAAATCAGAATGTTTCAAAATACAAAATACATACAAAACCATGAGAGAGAAATGTATTTAATTCTGAACATTAATAATTCCTAGCAGCTTTTCTAGATATAATTGTACAATGCTAAATTAGTGACTTTGGAACAAATCTGTGGAATGCACCTATAATTATTCCTGAGTTTAGTCCTACCTTGTAATAGATCAGTTTTTAGTTAGATCAGTTTTTTTAGTTCTTAATTCCTTTTGGGAGGTAATGTTTTCTAATAATTAAAAGCCTGGGTTGTATGAGTTAGACTATCCAGACAGATTTCTGGCTTTACCACCTGTAACTATGTAGTTTAGTTACTTGCTCTCTTTGCGTCTTCATTTACTTTGCTTTTTTAAAAAGTAGGGCTAATCATAATACCTACATTATTAGGGCTGTTTTGAGAGTTAAGTGACTGTATATTTTAAAAGGAGAGTCAATAAGATTTCCTGGTGGATTTTTTGGCTTGATCAGCTTAAGAAAAATGAAGTTGTCATTAATTGAGATAGAAAAGATGCTTTGTAGAACAGATTAGGGGGAGAAGATTAGTTAGATCAGCCTTGACATGTTGAAATCCAGATGAAGATGTTAGAAACACGAATTAAATATCTCTCTTATATTGTGGTTCATGCAGTGTAGGGTCAGCCATTTAAAATATTTCATTTACATTTCTAAGTAGTAAGTTCCTGTGTTTAGACAAAATTGTGTATCAAATGCTTAAGTAATGTATAAAATGATTTTAAAGATAAACTGCTCGACATGTATTACTTCACCCTTTCTTAATTTCTGAAATATATTTGTCTCTTCTCAAGTTGTTCTCCCAGTTGCATCCTCTCCTTCAATCTTGCTCTGGTTTTTGTAAGTTTATTTTTATCTTGTAACAAGGTCTCTTGACCTCTTCCTAAATTAGGGAGCAGATTTTGGTACTAGTCAATTTCCATTATTTGCTCTGAGGCAGGCAAGTAGCTCAGCCTCATGTATTCCCATTACTCAAAGTATACCCAACGTTAGTGGCCTACAAGAAAAAACATTTAAGGTTAAGGATAAGTGAACCTGTAAGGTGTTAAGGTTGAATGTACTGTGATGTGGGCACAATAATTGGAGTGCTTGTGCTTGTTTCTTGAGGGTTTTTTTTTTTTTTTTTTGTGCTTGGCAAGAAGAGTGCAAAGGGCACTTTTGGGAAGATGGAGACCTCAGTGACAATCCTATATGAAGCATTTGCCTCACCTTCAAGGCAAATGATCAAGTAAATAGGCTGCTGTTTACAATTTCTACTTCCTGCCCTCTTTAGAGGAAAAGTTCTTAACCCACGATCTGCGGGCATTTTATATGTAAATTGTGTTTGTGTGTGTGTGTGTGTGTGTGTGTGTGTATTTTTTCCCCAAAGTCCATAGGGTGTATGAAACTCTATTAGGTCTCCATGACTCAAAACGTTTAAGAAACACAGTTATAAAGAGTGCTGTGGCCGGGTACAGTGGCCCACACCTGTAATGCCAACACTTTGGGAGTCTGGGGCAGGAAGATTGCTTGAAGCTAGGAGTTCGAGACAGCCTGGGCAACATGGATCCTGTCTTTACAAAAAATTGGAAAATAAAAGAGTGCTGATATTCTACTTCTAAGATTGGCTACGTAAATAATGTTTATTTACCTTTGTGTATGTAGTTTTAAGTCCAATAGACAAGCCGTCTCAACGACACTAACACAGTGGAAAGGTACTTTGACAACAATGTTCAGAGGTAAGAGCTAAAACAATTGGGACAGCTTTGCCCATTGACGAGGTGGTTTGATGTTTAACAGAGGGCATTGAATATTTTTCTGTTGGTGCTGATGTTTAATTTCTACCTGTTACATAAATAAATACAAATTTGCACCAAGAGCCATGCCAGTGGAAAATGAGAAGCAAGTGTGCTGAGTCTCCTCCTCCAGATAAATTGAGCTCTACAGCTGTTATTTTGCCCTATCTGTTACAAATAATAATGAGCAGTGAAAAAAGAAAAGGCTAATACTTTTTCCTACCATCTCTTTTACTTCTTCCCACTGAGACCAGGAAGAACTGGCTGCCCATCTTTTCTTTTCGCCTTCCTTGCATTCTCATTTTTTTAACTTGTATAGTTTTCATACTACATCTCTCTAGTTACAGATATCGCATTAGAAGGATTGTGTTTAAAATTTGGATAGGAGGTGGTATGCTTTAAGAAACTGGAGTAGTAATAAGAAAATCTGAGCAAAGAAGCCTCATTACAGGGGTTCTGTTAGAAGATTCTCGTGAAGCAGGTTTCCAGCCAGACCACTATATAATGGGACCCACAACAAGCATGTTTCAGAAAGTTGACAAATTTAGCAAAACAAGACACATCCACTGTACAACTGATTTTTTTAATGGAAATATATTAGTATGACCTGTATAAATTATGAGATTCAAAACAGTGGTGTCAATATACTGCTAAACATATGAATGAAGGTAGTGACTATGATGGAAATCTGTCAGTACTACAAAAATACATATAAACAAAATAATTTTTGTCCTTTGATAAATCTACAAGATATAAAATTAAGAATATTTATATAATTTCATACTAGATATGTGAAAAATATGCCGTGCTAGAACAATCTCGTTCCAAAATTTGAAACATGAATTGTCAAAAACGCTCTTCATACAATGTATGAACTTGTCAATAACTTCCTGGGTATAAAGTTGCTTTTTATGTCATAGTCAGATGAAGATCCCTCTGAATTACATGTTGATTAGAATCTTGTTTCAACTGGCACCTGGAAGAAGACAGAAAATTCTTATTTAAAAATATCTGTGAAGCTCTATTACGATAATCACATCTTAGGAGCTAGAATTTATCAGAGTTATCATCAGGGTTTTCTTTTTGTTTTGAATTTTAATGATCAATTACCTTCCATCACTACTTATTTAACATAGATCCATGTGATACTACATTGTAATTCAAAGGCCTGATTTAACTTAAAGGGATGGTACAATGTGTTGCAGCAATATCCTTCTTCACATTTGATCCAAAGGGCTTTTACCCCAGTCACCACTGGTGGTGTATCCACAGCTGGTGATTTACCATCCTTGAAGCCAGACAGAGAGATGGTGTTAAATGTTTCTTTTTTTAATATGGGGAAGCCAAGGTCCACCATTGTGCTAGCTATTCTTTTAGACAATGGGCTCTAGCATTTGGGTCTGACATGAGGTTTAAATGTTGTTCCTACGCTTTATCCTCCAATACTTGGTGACAATTCTAAATCCAATCACTGAGGAGAGGGTTTTTGGTGTGAGGCTTTTCTTCTAAGGAGCTCAGGCAAGGGGCCAGTTTTATTTGGTTTCTCTGGAATCTAGTCCTTGGAGACGGAATCATGGTGTTTATCTATGCTCACCTCTTACCTCAGGTCTATCCAATTTTCTGGAATGGCTTTTCATCTGACCTTTGCTACTTGATACCACTCATTTTTTTTTTTTTTCTGGACCCCCGGCCTCTAGAAATTCTAATTTAATTAATTGTTCTAAGATAAGACCTGGGTATAAGTATTTATAAAAATCTCTCTTGGGGACTCTAAAGTACAGCCAAGGTTGAGAACCACTGATCTAGATTTATTGGATTCTTTGCATGAGTAAAGGAGCTAATTGTTTCTCCTCAATTCTTAGTGAATGTCATGATTGCTGCAGGGAACTTTGCACTGTTTGGGGTTAAGAGCATATATCTCCTTAAGGTCTATTCTTTTCATAAGGTTTTGACATCTGTTTCTATACCTCTGGCCCTTAGTAGT